CCCCCCGCCCGCCCCCAACCTTGGAAGCTGACGCCACGCACTCCCCGATCGAATGCTCGTGTTCCTTCTGATGTTTCCTGCTGGTGTTTTTTTTGTTTTGTTTTAGCTGGACGACCTGGAGCCGTTCTATCCCGATCGGATGGCCTCGAGGATCTTGGGGATGGGAGACGTGGTGACGCTGGTGGAGAAGGCTCAGAAGGAGGTGACTTGTTATTCGTTGTTGTTGTTGTTGTTGTTGTTGTTGTTGTTGTTGTTGTTGTTGTTGTTGTTGTTGGTCTTGTTGGTCTTGTTGTTGTTGTTGTTGTTGTTGTTGTTGTTGTTGTTGTTGTTATTCGTTGTTGTTGTTGTTGTTACTGTTGTTGATGTTGTTGTTGTTGTTGTTGTTGTTGTTGTTGTTGTTGTTGGTTGGTGGTACATTTTGTTGTTTCTGCCCCCCACCCAACCTGTTCGGATCGAAACGTGTCCCCCCTCCAAAAAACGCTTGGATGATGACCAGTTTCTGGTTCTCCCTGTGAACCATACGTAGCCTGGGCCGGCGAAAACCGGGTATATCGCTTTTGCTTCGTCCCGCAGCATTGTAGGGATGCGACGTCAACGCTCTCATCGCGTCCGACATGGGTTTACATGCCCCCCCCCCCCCNGTACGCCCCCCCCCCCGTCCACTCCGTTCCTAAAATCGGCGTCTCCCTCTATCTGTTAGATGAGCGAGGAGGAAGCGGCGAAGCTGGCCAAGAAGATGATCAACGCCGAGTTCGACTTCAACGATTTCCTCAAGCAAGCCAAGATGATGAAGGGCATGGGGAGCCTTGGAGGCGTCGCCAACATGATCCCGGGGATGGCGGGAAAGATCACCCCCCAGCAGCTCAACCAAGCCGAGGTGACCCCCCCCAGCTCCGTCCGGCCATTTGAGCACGGAGGGGGTGCGCAGACCCTATATCCCTATCCCCACCCCTAACCTATCTTCCCGGATTGCATGCTTTTTCCAACATGTTTCCTGCGGGCTGTCGCGGTCTAACGACCACGCCATGCGTTTACATGAGTACACCCCCCCCCCCCCCCCCCCCCCCCCCCCCCCCCCCCCCCCCCCCCCCCCCCCCCCCCCCCCCCCCCCCCCCCCCCNATTCTACGTGCCTTATTTTCGTTCCTTTACTGAGGATGAACGATATGGTGATAGTGGGCACACGTTTAAGTCCCCTTGCGGTAAAGGCCGGCCTTGTAGCGTTCGGGCCCATGCTGACGACGTTTCGTTTGTTATTGTCCCGATGCCTTCCGCCCCTTGCTGCTCCCCACTCTTCCCGCTACATGATTTTCGTTTTTTGTTCGTGCGACCCCTTGTCTCTCCCGCAGATTGTGCAGTTTGTGGTCAAGTGTGGACCTTGTCTTTCCAGCAAGTCCATGTAACGATGAATAACGTACATTCAAAACGCACAAGATATCTAGCCAAGCATACGAAAATCGTTCGCGAAAAATGGACGTCCATTTACAAACAGCCCTCCCTTTTTGGTTGTGCCGACTGCACGCCTCCCCCCCCCCCGCGCCAAAAAAAAA